TGGGGGCACAAAGTGGATGAAGGACGGGGAGATAAGTGGGGTGCACCCCGGAAGGCGGGGCCTGTCCGGGCTTCAGAGTCACAGATGTGGGTTTGACCTATGACTCTGCCATTCCTTTCTTTTGTGTCAGTGGCAGGACTCCTCATTGTGAAACTGGAGCAGTTGTTTTAGGCAGAGCTCTTTCCAGCAGAAGGGACAGAGACCCCCTGGAGCCAGCTGAAGTTGAAAGAGGTGTTCATCTTACACAGAGACATGTCAGCGTACCCTGAGGAGAGGAGTCTGTGTAGAGGTGGGCCTCGCAGGGGACTGGACTAGAAGGAGGAGAGCGTGGAGGCGGCTTCTTTTGTGGCCTCTCAGGGGTGCTGCTTCCGCCCCCAGGGCTCTCTCCCTCCGGCTTTCCCAGTGACTACTTCTGTGTGATTGTCCAACTTCAGTGTCCTTTCATGTCTCTTAGATTCCTGAAGTAGAGGCCAATTGGCCTGGCTTCTCCTCTAGGCAACCCCGCATTTCAGGGGTCCTAGCAGATATGCCTGAGCCAGCCCTGGCCAGGAGGCGGCCCTGGGCAGCCCCTGGGCCCAGAGCCATGCAGAGGCAGTCCTTAGCCCAGAGAGAGGCGGACATGCACAGTGCGCCGTGAAGGTTGCCTTTCCACCCTCCAAAGGTGACTGCATCTTGGTTTCTCTTTCCCCGAGCCTGCCTCCGAACTGCCCAGACTTGAAGCTGAAGCCCTCTCCTCTTTCACTGAAAAAACAGAAGCCTCTAGTCCCCCAACCCACACGGTACAGAGCCGCCCTGCCACCCCAGTGCCATCTTCCTGCCCTCCTCCCGTTGAGTTTGGACGGTACTTTGCCTCTGAAAGGCAGGTCTGTCCCCTGGGCCTCTCGTCTTGCTCCTACAGAGACCTCTTCTCTTTTCAGCGTCAGGGCCTTCTCCCATTCTCTTACCCCCTCAAACATCATTCTCTGGTTTCTCTTATTATTTAAAGAAAAAGAAAGAACAACCCTTTTGGCCACACACACACTTCTCACAGAACTTCGAAGCAGTTATCTGCCCTGCTGATGTTTGGCACGTTGGCATGCAGAGACCCGTCATCACAAGCTACTGGAAGATGGAGGGGCCTACAGCAGAGTGGCAGCCAGCTCTGCACTGAGCTTGTGCCATGGACGGGCTTTCCCTGGCCAGATGTTCTCAAGGAAGGAAGCAGTGGGATCACTTACGTTCTGGCACGAGTGCCTCTCTCTTCTGACAGTTGACCTTCTTCACTGTCTTGGTCCCCACGACGGCAGATTCTCTTTTTCCTCACTTCTCTGAGTACTCCCTGCTTGCTCCTCCCCTACCTGCCCTGTAGCTGTCAGAGGGCCTCGGGGCTCAGTCCAGGGCCCTTTCTCTGCCTGCCTTGGCCATGATCTCTCATAATCCAATAGTTGGTGACTTCTTCTAAATATAGATCTTCAGCCCAGACCCAGCCCCTGACTCATTTATCCAGTCGCCTTCTTGATATTATTTCCGTGACATCGTCTAAGGCATCCTCACATGCAGAGAGGCACACACAGAGCACTCAGTGCACTTCTTCATTCCGCCCTTCCCCAGTGCCCACTCCTCCCCAGGCCCATTCTTGCTCCTCAGGACATGGAATCACCACCCACGTGGTGGCGCAAGCTCCAGACCTTGGATTCGTTCTTGGGTCCCCCTTTCCCTCACTTGCCATGTCCAGTCAGTCACTGGGGCCTGTCCCTTATACCTTCAGAACGTAACTCCATCCTCCTCTTCATCACCACTGACCCTCCCCACGTCCAAGCCACCACCAGCACCCCCGCTCCCAGACTGCCCCAGAGCCTCCCTTTGCATTCCCTCTCCATCCACTCCCCACTGACCAGCCAGAGGGAGTTTTCGGCACCTCCCTACAGAAAGCCCTTCAGCACCTACTACTGTTGAAATAATCTTGCCATGGCTTGCAGTGCCTCTGCTCCTCCCTCTTCTCCCCTCCCCCAAATCCACCTCCTTCCTCTCACTCCTCCGTAAGCCCTGCCCTGCCTGGTTTAGGCCACTCTTCCCAGCCCAGGCCACTGTGCCCTCTGCCTGGTGCTCTTCCCAGCTTTTTTCCTGGCTTTTCCTTTGTCACCATAGGGTCCTCTCCCCAGTTGTTATCTCAGAGACGCTTTCCCTTGCTGCCCCAGGTCACAGGTGAGTGAGAGCAGAGGGCTGCCTCCTGAAGCCTGATGAAGCACCCAGGATTCACATGGGCATGTTTGCCCTTTTAATCCTGACCAGACTGCCCCAGCTCCAGCAGCTTGAGGCTTTTTTCCATGTCTCCAGGAACTTCTGAATGCATCTTACAAATGTTGAGAACTGGTCATCGCGGAGGCTGGTGCCTTTGAATGTCAACTGCACGTATGTGGGCGGATGCAGACAGCAGCTTGAAGTGCAGGAGGGAAGTCAGGCCCAGCACTGCTAGCCAGACAGCCAGGGCATGGCTAGCCGCAGGCCCAGGATATCACCTGCCAGTCCTGTGAGGGATTTGGGAGAGACAGCAGTGGGCTTCAACAGGCCGTTAGCTCCCCAAGGAAATGGCCATGAATCAGAGTGCTGCTAATGGCTTCTTTTTAAATGAGTTTTTGTGTCTGTGTCAGAGAGAATGGGCTGCTGTTTGCAGCCTTGAACAGGAATGCTGTCCATTGCTCTGTTAGAAGCCACGGTACAAGTATTTGCAAACTGGGTGACTGTTGGCAAGACATTTTTCCTCTTTGCGCCTTGGTTTCCTCCCTTCTGTGATGGAGATAATAAATCCTGTCTGTTCAACTCACAGGGCTGTTGGGGTGCGTTCCAGGTGTTGGGATGTCAGCTAGCATGAATTCAGCATCCGCTCTGTGCCCAGCCTTGAGTTATACAGCTTCCTGTTCCATCCTCACCATGGTCCCACGAAGGTGGGCAGGCTTAGAGGAGCTCAGTGCTCCCATCCCCGGCTGCCCGGCTACCAGGTGGAGATGTCGCAGCCTGTCTGTACCGCATCCCTACAGGCGGGTAGAGCTCTGCATACAGATGCATTTGCTTTCCAGATTCTGCAGTCATCCTTTAAGACAAGCTGTTCTCATTGTTCAGATGGTGGCGTGGTGGAGTTAAGTGACTTGCCCAAAGCTATTTAGCTTATAAGCGGTGTCCTGAATTTGAAGGCAAGTGTGTTTGGAAGTCCTTTGGAAGACTTGAAAAGAATTGGTAAAGCCTGGGGTTCTTAAACCTTTCAGGCCTTCAGAAAGTAATAGTAGAGTTTTTTTTTTTTTTTTTTTTTTTTTTTCTCTTTGTTCCTGATTCACGAAGGAAATTACACTTTTGCCAAATGGTGCTTCCCTTAATATTTGCTCTTGATTGGCGTTAATGCCATCCTGGCACTATAATATTTGTCATCTCATACCTTAGGAAACTCTGCCTGATTGTGAATGATCCAAAAAAGGTTTTGCGGTCAAAATGGAATTAGAGAAATGGTAAAAGAGTAAGGATCTCTCATAAAAAACAAGATGGTATCAATAAGACCTTTCCTAACTCGGAATCCACATTCTGCTACCTGCCACGGTCACTTAGGTGTAAATGTCACCTTCTTCCTCAAGAAGATGACAGGTCACCCACTACCCTGGGAAAAAACAGGGCAGACAGTATACAACATTGGTATACAGTGCTCTTCTGCTTCCAAGAACTGGTAACTCTCTGCTAGTCTCCCAGGATATTACAGTGGACATCTGCCCCACTCCTTCAGTGTATTTGGAAAGTACTCTTCCCGATGTACAAATTGGAAGGGTAGGCTGTGGGCATCTGAGCCTGGGCTTGACCAGTCGCACATGCACGGGAGCTGGTGATGCAGAAAGCCGGGTGGTGGTGAGTTCATGTGGAGAGTGTGCCAGCAGCCATATCTAGTTTTTGGGGGCGGTCATGTTGGCTCATCACCTCCTGCTCCAGTGCCCATGTCCAGTGCTGACGGCTGGTGACACAGGCTCTGGCATCCTCACACTGGGAGTGTGAGAGCTGGGCTCCAGTTACGGCAGCACAGCATAATGTCCTGCCCATTTTCTGAGCTTCCCTTCTTTGGCTTTTCTGGGAATCAGTGAGATGCCCAAGGCCTTTAAGTAAACTCAGTTTAAATCAGCTGAAGTCTGTTTCATTTGCTTAAAGCTAAGAAGCCAACTTTAATAGAGATGTTTCTCTGTAGTTTTCCAAAGGTTTTTATTCATTCCTCAGGCTCCTGAAAGTTCTAACTCACCTCTTCGACACCTCGGTGAGCCACAGAATTCACAAGAGAATCCCAGGTTGAGCAGGTAGCAGGACTGTGGGCTCAGCCGTCTCCCTTCAGTGTTATTATGACTGAGGTCTCCATCATTCTCCCTAGACTGTGACCTCTGTGGGGACACAACTGAGTCGTTCATCTCTATCTTCAGCTCCTTGAGCAATGCCTGGCACATGGTGGGTGCTTGGGAAGGTTTGGATGAATGGACCAAGGAACCAACAAAGAGATGAGAGAGGTTGATGCCCTGGGCTCTCTGCAGCCTTAATGAGGCTGGCCTGGCTTGGGCAGGAGGGGCGCCATGTGCCTGGAGACTGCAGGCTGCCTGCAGTTCCGTGCTGGAGATCGGCTGGGGAGATCATGGAACTTAGAGCAGAAAAGCAAGTGGCTTGAGCCATGAAAGGGAGAGCCACTTCTCTGAGTGGAGGTGGCGTCGTTGGTGCTTCCCAGTCCTTTCGCCTCGTGGCATGCACAGAACACAGTATTATTTGTCTGGTATCCAGGACCTTGTCCAGCTGCCCCAGGAGCAGAGGCCCCTCTCACAGCATACCATCGACCCAGTGCCCACTACTTAGGGGGCTAATCCCAAGGGAACTTAGAGCCTGGTGTGGCCTCTGTTCTTAGCCCCTTGTCATGTAAGTTGCAGATATTTTTCCTAGTTTTTGCCTTTATGATTTCTTTTTTCTCCCACTTGGTTTATTCTTGACGGTCATGGTTCTTCCCCCTACAGGAGGTTCCAGCCTTGACAAGTGTGGCCCTTCCTGGAATCCCTCTGGACACACCCTCCTAGCATCCTCTAGGAAAGATGCGGCAGCTCAAAGGGAAGCCCAAGAAGGAGACCTCCAAGGACAAGAAAGAGCGGAAGCAAGCCATGCAGGAGGCCCGGCAGCAGATCACCACGGTGGTGCTGCCCACGCTGGCCGTGGTCGTGCTGTTGATCGTGGTGTTTGTGTACGTGGCCACACGCCCCACCGTCACCGAGTGAGCCCTGCAGCTGGCCCACAGACCCCATCGGCAGGGAGAGGAGGCGCGGGAGGGGGAAGCAAACAAAAAATGGCTTTTATATTCAGAGATGTTCATGCTGCTGAGCTATAAGCAGGAGCACCCTGTCTTCTCTGATCTTTGACTTGATTAAAGTATCTCTGCTTTTCTTGGGAGGGAGGGGATGTTTTATCAGTGAATGTGCCATACACCTTATGGTCCACTTCATGTGCCTTTCAGACTTCAAAGGGTGCGTGTGTGTGTGTGTGTGTGTGTGTGTGTGTGTGTTTCTTTTTCTCTCCTAAAAATAGTTAAGTAGCTCCACCTGAAGAGAGGGGAGGACCCTCTAGGTCAGGAAGCAGCTGGAATCCGCACTCACCTCATTCCCATGGTTTGGATCATGCCTCTTTCCAGCACGTGCTCACAATCTCCAAAGGGACTGTATTTCTTCTCTGTGCTTAATGTGATTTGAAATATGTTGAATCAAAGTGAAATATTTATTTTTTGAATAAAGGAGATAATAGCCTTAAAGTGGATGCTTATCATATTTTGTAGGAGGTGCTGTCTGTGGGACTCCCTGTGCCCCGGGTCTGCCCCTCTTCCCTCTCCTTCCCTTTCTCCTGTGGCTCTCTCCACCTTCCCCAGCACTCCCTCTGCTCATCATTTTCGAGTAAAATTATGCTTTTTGATGATGGTTTTAAGATGGAGAGGGACAGAAAGGATGGATTAATTGGCCTGCTTTATGAAGTGAGAGTTCTAATTGGAATATGACCACAGGTGATTTTTACCCCAGTTAGTTTTTCCTACTTTAATTCCATATGTTTGTGCAAACAGTAATACAGAGTGGTCCTGGAAGTAAAGGTCGGGCTTGATTTTGTTCTTAGCTGAAAGGAAGCAAATTGTTGGCGTTCCAGCTGAGTTTTCAGTGCAAATTGGCTGGAATGGTTGCCTCATTTTATTCTAACAGCGCTGCTCATGCGGTCCTGCTTCCTGATGGAGCAGCCCCTTTTTGGAAGTCAGATTCATGGTTACTGTTCTGAGGATGTCTGTCCTCCTGTCGTTGCTGATTATGGAGATTTGTGGGGAGAGAAGTGCTCTTCTAATCCTGGTGGCTGTGCAACTTGCTCACTGATGGCAGAGGCTGTTAGTGGAGATTTGGGGCTTCTTGGAGTGAGTCTCTCAGAAAGGACAAAGCAGCTATTGAAAGGAAGGACTCTCTGGCTGATGCCTGGAGAGCCCGACAGCTTTGCAGCCCTCTCCACTCCATGAGCTGGTCTCAGAGAGACCTGGTACCTCCTCATGCTCGCTCAAGGGCCCATGGCCCTGGAAAGAGATTCGCTAAAATACTTACCAAATTCAGAGGCTGCTAGCATCAAGTTCCTCTAAGGTTTCTGTTTTCCTCCCTTTTATTTGTTTCTGTTGTGAGCCTCAGAGCTTGCTGGCCTGAGAAAAGACTGCAGGCCACCACCCCAAGGACTTGCTCTTTCAGGGGCTGGAGGGAGGAGGCAGGTATCTGTGGCCATCCTGCTCCTTGCAGCGGCCACTGGGCGGCTGGCGAGTCCCCTTCCCAGGGCAGATGCTGTGAGAATGGGGCAAGGACAGCCCGTCCACTCCAGCAGAAAGAGCCCAGTCTGCGCGTCTTGGAATTAGCTGATCTGCATTTAGTTCCCTCCGAGGCTACCACTCAGCATTGTGGATTATTTAACCCCACTGAATCTGTTTCCCTGTCTGTAAAGAACTGGTAAAGTCACTTTTAGGAAGGTGAGCCCTCTAGTAGAAAATAAGGCTTTTAGAACAAACGTGGGTTTTGATGCAGGTTTTGCTGCTGGAACCCCTTTGAGTCCACTTAGAGATGATCTTGCCTCATAGGATTGTAGGAAGGGCTAAGTTGAAACAGTGTATTTGTAGAGCCAAATCAAGTTACTCGTAGTTACTATATAAACAAAAGTAGCTTGATATTTCACACTTATTTATGTCTCACACAGCCTCATGAGATATGTACGATTAGCACTCAATCTTACAAATGAGGAAGCTGAGGCAGACCGGGAAACCTGTCCATGTCACACAGCTAGTGAGTGGAGGATCCCTGGTTTGTTTATTCTTAAGCCTTTGTTACGGCATGTTTTAAACATACACAAAAATAGATGCAGCATGCCTCAGCAAACCCCGCTACCTGGCTGCTCCTGCCCGTCCATCTGCACTGCCCCCACATCCAGACACCCTGATGTGCACACATGCCTTGGACTGTTTGGAGCAAAACAGGAGATGGGATTTTAAGCCCAGGCAGCCTGGCTTCAGAGTCCATGCTCTTCTTCATCATTCAAATCTTGTTGACTTTCAGTAAGTAATTTTCTGCACTCTCCTGGTCTAAGGAAGCCTTGCCTGCCCAAGGTATTTGAACAGTCCTCACCTGGTCATGGTGAACAGCCTTTGATGCCATCTTTAGACAAGTGGGCTGTGAGTTTGGCCTGCCCTGTGGGCACTAACTCCACTCAGCCTGTGGTCTGTTGCTTAAAGAGAAGCCTCAACCGGTAGTCATAAGAGAAATATCTTTTCCATTGGCTCCTTACTTAAAACACGTCAGTGTTCTTGCTTAGGAGATTTGGCGTATGATGTGAAAAGAATATGATCTTTGGGAAACCAATATATTCGAATTCTACTTCAGCTGCTTTCTAGCTGAATGACCTTACTCAGGCCCCATGACCGGAGCCTCACTTGCCTCACATCTGTGAAGTAAGGTTTATTATCGAGGGGATGTTGGGAGGATATACTGAAATATGAAAATGGCATACATTGTGCCTAGTACATTATGGAGGCCCCATAAATGGCCATTCCCTCTTCGTCAGTGTGTTCAAAAACTCAGAATATAAATGAAGGCCTGTTCCCCAATACTTTACTGGCTAAACGGCCATGCCACACCCTGTAAAAGATCCTTTAGGTGCTTGTGACTCTATTTTCACCACTGTTTTCCTCTTTGTTATCTATCGGGGGCCTACTGGGTTTAAACTGGACCTTCAGAAGGCAACTACTAGACGAGCTTGGAGAAGGCAGGCTGAAAACGGACTTTTAAAAGATAACAATTTTGATGTGAGTTACCTGGCAGGGACCAGATGCCAATTTACTGTGGACTTGCTGGGCGGAACTTTTAACAATTCTCGTGGGAAATAGTATTTTTGCGTGGGTGTACTTGGTAATGATTTGAGACACCAGCTTCCAAATTATTTCCAGTTACTCAGTGGCTTCAAGGCAATACTGAATTATTTATTAGGAGTTTCACAAAAAGTCATGCTGGTGTTTCTGCAGTAGAATTTGGGACTCTTGGCTTTCAGAGTCCTCATTACCAAGCCTAATGTTTCTTGAAGAGCATATTCTGAAAGAGGAATCGAGTTGGAAACAAGAATAGAAACCATTGTCATTGGTTTAAAAGGTGTCATTTGATGTATTTTTTTTTTTGAGTCCTGATACAAAGATGTGTTTGTGTATTCATTTTCTGACCAATGAAAATCGTGGTGATGATCATTGTCATTGTGGAGGGTATGAGACTGAGAGAAGAAGGGTCCAGACCCAGTCTGCCACTCAAGAGCATGACACTGGCCAGGCGCCTCATATAGGTATGTTGGACCGTAGAATCTACCGAGAGCTCTTGTATCCCAGAGATTCTGTGAACGTAGAGTTAACAGAATACGTATGTGATTGAATAGATTTACTTGGAGCTCAGAGAACAAGTGCATCTATTCATTCACATAGGTATTTTGAAATGATAGATTTACTTGGAGCACCAGCGGCACCTGGTACAAGAGGTTTGAGGATAGAAGCTACAAGGGAGCTTGTGTCTCTCCTTGCGATCTTCCCAGTGCTCTATAAATGGAGTGGTTGCTACCAACTGGTCATGAGTCTAAACCTGTAAAGGTTAAGTTCAGTTTGATTGGTTCTGAGGCCGCCAGCTATAATTTTTCCTGGTCAGTTCAAAGACATAGCAAGTATGCACCCTTTTGTCCTTCATGACGTAAGATGGGGAAACCTGGAGCCAGGTCATCTGTGAACTGGAGATGGTTAAGACATTGCAATAGGTTGCTAGGAAAATTCGAGAGATGATTGTCCTTCCCTCTTCCCCAAAAGGGTCTCGCACCATTATTTACTTGTCAGAGGTAGAAAAATCAGGAAATCTTTTGAAATGATGGCTCTTAAACGTTTTACTGGCCGTCTACCATCATATTCCCTACAGGTCTGCCTTGAAAATATCCCATGTAGGATGTTTTCCGAAGATGTCTGCTTTATTTTGAATGTATTTGAAACTGCCTAATTCTGTGCTCTGCACCATGTTTGCCACGGACTTTTGCTTAAACATTAGAAATGAGATACAGAATTTTGGGATCAATAAAATACATGAATAGCGTCATCTAAATCTTTTGAGAGCATCTGTACTAGAATTGTGAGGGGTTTGTACATCCTCCGGACCCGTGTTCCCCTTTCTCCATGCTCCAAATATCAGGCAGTGCAACTGTGCACATATGGTTTGCCTCTACCCGGCAAACCTCTTAGTCTTTCAGGCCTAATTTTTTCTTATGAATCTTAATGTACTTCAGCAGGCAGTCCTCTTCTGAGTATTTTCTCATTACAGGCAAATGTCCCTGACTTCAGTGTATTTCAGTCAGGTCATGTGTATCATCTCCGTGCCTGCCAGTTCTTTGGAAAGGAGCCAGTCTTTTCAAAAAGCTGTTAGTCCCTTGAACTGTTGAGTAATAACGTAAGGAATGCAGCGCTAAGAGAGCATTTGGATGCTCAGTAATGTCATGGGTAGGGGTCTCTCTTTCCTTCCCTTGTTGTGTACTTCCCCATTGTTTCATAAAGGTAGTCTCTTTTGAACTTTCTCACGAGGAAACTTTCATCCAACCTTTGAATATTCCTTTTCCAATGGAAATAGGCACAGCTGGACACACGCGGATCACCCCGGCTTTTTCAGGAAGCATATTAAGCCATGTGTGATCAGACTTAACTTCAAAGGCACCAACCAGTTTGGGTTGGAATAAATTAAAGCCCATTATGAACTCCTTTTGCAGACTCCTCCACCTTGAAATTCCTCTGTCTCCACCTGGTTCTGTCGGTCTGCCCACCTATTTAATCCACCCATTTCTCCAGAGACATTGAAATTGCCTTCTCTCACACAGTCCTCCCAGATTGGATTTTAAAAGCTGTAACAATATCTACAAAGACATATTTAAAGCTAAAGTGCCTAAAACGTTGAAAAAAAGGAAAGAATATAAGGAAGACAAATATGAACAAAAGCTATGGCGACAGTTTTCACATCAGCTAAAGAAATATAAAGTGGATATGCCACAAAGGGCAAAGAACGACACATACTAGTACTCTAATAAAAAAGATACTATGATCATGAATGTGTATGTTAATATAGCTTCAAAATATATAAAGCAAGTGACTTGACAGGACCATGAGGAGAAATACATCACAATTTTAGTTGTTAAGGAAGCACTTTTAGAAGTTCATAGATCAAACAGCTGAAAGGAGCTAAA